AGGAAACTAACTTAACATAGAAAAAGTCATACTAGCAGTTATTTAACAAATAAAATTATCAAATGCAGGCTATAATAGCATAATCAATTTATTCTTCACGTTATTAAACTCAAAAGTTGTTCTACGGAACACGGCAAATGCAGGATTTTCGCATCTTATTCGCGGATTCCTACTCTGACCATTCATTTAAACAAGAATAGATTTAACCTCAAAAATATGAATGTGCTATTTTGTTAACAAATATTTTGTGATGAAAATCTTATTGTAAACCACTAATTTTCTGATAACATTTATTTTGCATACTTTACTAATTACAAAAGTTTAAAAGATTTTTATACCAATTTCAATACATTGTTTTTAGTCATATCGTGGTGGCCAGTTCACATTGCAGTCTATCACAGATAGCATTACTAACCAGAATTAACAAGTTTAAACTTGAATGACCGACTGCTAATCCTACATGATTTACAACTCAATGGTGAGATACAAATGACCAATATTCTTAATGTCATGCCTTTCAATGACTCTCCAATTTTACTGGTGTAAGAAGCACTATCGACGCTCCCCTAAATTAACTGGATAGCTTCCTCAAATGAATAAATCAAAAGCCCATATTCGGATTCGGACCCTCAGTAGTGAGGGGCAAGTGGTTTGAAATCATGGACCTGAACATTTTGTCCCAGATGTATCAGTTTTTTCCGGAAGTCGAACATAGCTTTTTTTTAGATAATATATTAAACTGTGGTAAGTTTTGATTGACGAACTACAGTAAGGACTACTGAATATTTGTTATCTTTGACCTTGGTGATTTACTTTGTGCATCAAGAATTTCATCTTCAGCTAACTGCCTAGGATACCTTTATAGGGTATTTTTATTTTAAACATTCTCAGTTTCCGAACTGCTGACAATTTAATTATACTGGATAATTTGATTTGAATCACCTAATATGTCAAAAGAATATCAAAGAAGTTCATCAATAAGGACGAAAACTGAAATTATTTACTTATCTGCAAAGCTGAAATGAAAATATAATGATTTCAAATAATAAAGACTTTTTTTCTTGTGATGGTGGGATGGAGTGGGGAGTTGAAATTGTCGTTGGGGATTGGCTCCTCGCGTTTTCTAAAGCGTTGTTCAAATTAAAATATTCAACTGAATTGTCAATGTAAATTGAATTGTCTCTTCTTTATAATTTCGTTTTATTATATATTTTTCAATGATATTATTGTTTGTTTTATCGCGTCCAATAGTTTTAAATCCTTGACTGCCCCTGTGAAGTATCTTAATAACTACATGTTGTATTTTTTAAACTGCAAATCTAACATTTATTTTGTCATCATGTATTGTTATATGAACATTATCGGGAGCCGAAATTCAAAATTTAGCAGGTTTTATTTATTAATTCTTACTTACGGTTTAGAAAGATCCGTACATATTACTTAAATAGCAGAACTAGCGAGTTTTATCTCATAAGGACATTTCTCGAACAAACAACTCGTTCTAACGTATTTTATGAAAATGTCATAAATATATTAATAGAAATTAGTGGAGTGTATATTTTATATATATCATGCTTCAAACAATGATCTTGTTCTGTGTTGTCTTAGTTAACCACAATTATAAATTGATTGTTCTTTTATGTTGTTAAACATGTCACTGACACATTATATTATGCATTCATGTTTTCGTAGTAAAAGCACCGATTTTTTTAATCAATTGCTTTTATTTCAAAATAATGAATTGCATATTTAGTCTAGACTTGATAAATTTGATATTATAAAAAGAAAACACTAATGCAATAAAAAAAATCTAACGAATTACGCCAATGGATATTGTCAAAAACAATATTTTGATTCTAAAAACATCATATGTACAACAAATGCAACATAATATTCACTTTTTTATCACTTGAACATTTATATTTCTTAGACTCATTAAGCACATATTATATTTATGAGGTCGATATACTAACTAACTTTCATATCATATAATACATTTTAACAATCAATGTAGTCAAATATGATTACATCATTACAGGGACTTCACTGAGATTTAAAAGCCTAAAAACATGACATTTGAATTTCTTACATAAATAAGATGGGGCACTTTAAACAAAAATGTATGCAAGAAAAGTTAAGAATTATACTTTGAAAAAAAAAATGAAAATCGTATTTATATCCTTGCCTTGGCCCGATTTTAGTAGAAAAAAACAAAACGTTTAAACGCTTTTCATTTTTTGGTCATTTTTTACAATGTGAATAATTATTCTGGAAATAACGAAGTGTGCAAATGATCTGAAAGATTGCCCAAAGATTAGTGGTCTAAAATGATACATTTATCTGGAACAAAAATAGTCCCATCATGTCTATAAACCTCAGTGGAGTCCCTTTAAAATGCAAAGGAAAAGGAATAATTTATGTCAGTCTTTTCAAATTAATAAACTAGATGATTCACACGTGAATGTACTTATAATTAAATATATCCGTCTTGAGAACAGAAATATTGCTCATTTAAATATTCACTGACAGTCTGTCTCATTTATCACTTGTGTCTTGCTTCTTCTTTTCAAACAATAGCTTAGACTTAGTTTATTAGTTCATTAACCGACAGCACGGTACATTTATGTTGTCTTACTTGTTTGCTATTTTAAAGTACAATGTACTTTTTCATTTGACTACTCTGTTGTTTCATTGTTGATAAAATTATCAACTTTCTGAAGTTAAACGAAGGCTGTCTGTTAAACAACTTTATCTTTACTAGCATTGTAATGAAAAAAGACAGGCAACATCATGATATCATGATTGAACTTTTTAATTTGAAATCAAAAAATGAAATTATTAATAATAATGAAAATGTTGTAATTGAACATTAACCTCCCTTACTAACAATAGACATTGTTTGACTTGTAATTTTTGGATTCTTGTGCATTTTCCAGCACTGTTATTTCTTAATTTGTTGAACTTTTTTTGTGCGCATTCGCATTTGGAATGAAGACGTCTGCCGAAACTTTAATTTTAAATACATAGTATTCTAGTAAAATGTATTGAATGGGTAATGACACCAATATCTTCAACTTTAAAGTTTTTTGTTCCTTGGTGTGTAAAGTTTGCATGATAAGTTCACCTTGGTTCAAATATTCGTAATAAGGCCCTTCGTTATATAACAGATATAGCAAATGATATTTTGTCCCGGAACATTTTATTCTGTTTGCGTACAATATTCATCTGTGTTAAATAACAGAGACAGTCTACGTAACAACTTTTTCGGGAATCAATCATATAATAATGAAAGCAATATAGCATTTCTATTGATAAATTTCATAAAAAAAATTCATAAGATATAGAGGATATTTGTTTGTTTGTGTGTAAGATGAAATTTTATTTCATCGAGTGGGCTTAAAAAACAGTATTCTCACGAGTGGCGTAGCCACACTCGATGAACTAAAATTTCATCTTACACAACAAACAAACAAATTTTCTTTTTATCTTATGCTTAAAAACAAGTTTAAACTAAATTTCCATAATATTAACGTTTATTAAAATCTGTTTTCCCCATGGAGAGCCCCATTTAGTCGAAATTTCTCATTAAATACAAGAAGTCTTGAGCTGAAAAATAAGTTCGACTATCAACGTTAAATGACGGTGATATTATTCATTTTATTGAAAAACATATGAATGATCGCTTGTTTTAATGATAAAAACAAACAATTCTTGCAGGAGAAAAAGTCCATCCATCCATCCATATTTCCGTTACTTATTGTGAATTTATTTTAGACCTGGCTTTGTTAAATGTAAGCGGCAGCCATATTTTAAAGTTGTGTATTTCACGGGAGGAAAATAATTGTGTTTGATTCAGAGGGATATCATTTGGATTTCTTAGTCATACACCTTTTAAAAAGAAAGAAAACTTATTTGAGGATTGTAACAGACAAACAATAAGTGTTGACAAATGTGAAATCATTCAAAAAACAGCAAAGAAAATGGAACACTTCAAAGGCTGGCTCAGGAGCGCTGGGTTGTTTACTACGAGGATGGCTGTCATTGCTTTTCAAGTTTTCATAAAGCATACCGCAGTTATTGCCCGCTTATTTTATGCCCAAATAACATCAACAGCAGTTTTGCATGTGGAAGGAATGTATTTTTCAGACTGTAAAAATGAAACAAAAAAAATTAGAGACGAAATTTTGTGATTGGAATTTGAATGAATAGAAGTAAGTTTCTTTAAAATTATTACTTTTGACATTTAAGTTATTTATCATTTTCAGCTTTACTTTTCTTTAAACAGCCTGACATTGTCAGAATTGTCAGCAAAAATAAAATTGAGGTACCACATGGGGAAAATGTTAAAAAGTAGTTTCGTCGTTGAAAAGTGTGAAATTATATTTTGATAATTTCATTGTGAAATAACAAATATAATTTTCATGGATAAATCAGTAATTCACTGAAAAGCATGAAATAAATAGATGTATACACTTGAAAACAAGTAGGTTGTTTTATTTTACAAACATGCTGCATATTGTGTTCCGTGCTTCTGCTGCTGTTTTTGTTTTCGTACTTGTTTTAGTTAGTGTTAGAAATGTGTTATAGCTTCAGACGACTTTTTGACCCTTTTAGCAGTTAATTATAAAATATGAATTATAAAAAAAACTTTATTCTACTTACAAAACAAACTAAAATCTAAATTTCTTTAAGTTTATTCAAGCTTGAAATTATGCAAGCTTTTATCAGGTACGAATTTGGGATCACATACCTCCCCTTTATTTAATTATACTAACATTTCATCCAATCAAAATTAAATTTATTTTTACAGTTCACGGTTCTTTCAAGAAGTCGTCTTTACTAAAGCCTCAAAACCTATATTTGGTAATTTCATTTCTAAAAAAACGCAGATAGTTATAGATGTTATAGATAGATGTTCAAATAAGCATGTCAGTTATACCTTGATCGGCGACAATCAGGTATATCGCGCTATTAATAGTTAATGAGAGGATTGCCAAAGTCGTGACCCACCTAAAGACGTACAAGACGTATTAAGTAGTTAAAAAGTTAAGTAAGAAAAATGTCTGATTATATTTCACAGAAAAACGTGTCTCCAGTAGTTCAATTGTGTACCAAATGCTGCTGTATGGAGGAACATCCATGTCTGCTTTATAAACCTCGAGGTCAGCAAGAAAATGTCAACACATATCAAAGAGAAATGGATCTTTCCCGGCCCAGTAACGTTCGAAGTGTTCCTATAGAAGTGGACCAGATCATGGATTTGTGCCCTGTGGAAGAGATAGAAAAAGATACAATCGAGTTGCAAAATCTGTTGGGACTAAATCCATTTCGGGTAAGGAAGGCATTTTAGTATGCATGGAATATTTGAGGCATGATTAATTTATTTACAAAAGTAAGATTTTGTTCCATCGTCATTTTTTAAAGTCATTTTATTTGATCATATTATCACATAATTTATTCTAATTTATCAATTGTAACAATTACCAATATTTTTTATTGTTTGGAACGATTTGAAATATGACAAAATATTCGATACTGCGTGTAATCGAGATATTTCGCCATTTTTATTAATTTATGTTTGGTACAAAAAGATTAGATATGTATCTAAATCACTAAATCTAATCAAATAAAAGAAAAGCTGTTTGCAAAGAAAATTGATTAAAATCTTTTAAAATGATTTGCTTTGAATTGCTATCGGAATGTTGAAATAAATACTAAACTGTATGGGAAATGCATAGAAAGACATTAGTAAACATAACGTGTGAATTATCTGATTTATTTATATTTTTATTCATTCTATATTTTGATTTTTATATCGGGATGAACAGCAAACCTGTCAAGATTACTGATACAAAAGAATATGAAACAAATCAAATCAAATATAAATTTAACTAAGAACGAAACATAAAATTCTTTACACGAATTAATTTTAAAAGCTAAATAATGATATAAAATTGTTCTGATATATAAATTACAATTATTTTTAACGCGTTTGGTGTAAAAAGAAAACAATCAACAAAATATAATACAATATGATTTATAGTAGGTGAAGATTGACATGTTGTATGTCCTATTATAAACTGATATCCAAGTTAACAGTGCGACAGAAAAAATATTTCTGTTTGTTTATTTGTTTCTGTTATTTATTATATTTTTATTATTATTTTCATTTTTTCTAAGATCAATTTTATGATTGTTTTGCTTGTCACAGGACCAATATATGACAATTAAGCATGATAACTGGTTAATGGAAAAGAAGATTTAGGAAGCATCCCTAATATTCTTCGGAATAGAACAGCTTTGCATATCTGAAGACTTCGTGAATACTGATACTGATTATCTATATGTACTTCTTTATAATAATGTAATAATAATAATTATAATGTATAATGTAGTTCTCCTTGTTCGTAAACGCGATTTCTTGCAATCTGTTTATATGTGTTGAAATAAAGAATAACGAAAGTAAATACAGGCATTTTTCTTAATGAAAGCTGAATAAGATAAAAATGTTATGATACAAATGTAATTGAGGATTTAATTATGAAAATTGTTTTGTAACAAAATATTTTTTGCTGTATTTATTTTTGACAAAATTTATTTGTTGTTTGTTTTCATATTAACTAGCATGAACTATTGTTTGAAATAAACAAAATCTAAGGAATTTATCAGATACTAATTGTTCTAGCTTGCAAGCATGGCCAGTTTTAAAGAGACAAAACATGCGGTATCATTTCAGCAGCAGAAGCTATAAACATACAATGTAGCATTGTGTCTTAATGAATATATATAAAAGTGAATTGATTATATATGTAATTTTGCTGAAACGTCAGTGCCAGAATTTCATGCCAAAGTTTACCAAAACACGAAAAATGAACAAGTGATTTATTTAGGAGAAATAGCATGCAATTCATATAATTTAAATTAACATCATGATATCGTTTTATTGTCAAGTCGGGTTGAATTTTATATAAAAATCGTTTAAATATTTCAAAAGAATGACTTTTAAAAATGGCAAATGGCCGATACTTAAAATATTAAAAATTAGTAACATCTAGAATAATATATAAACACGCCTCAGACATAAAAATACTACCCCTATTCTGTCTGACAACTGAACGTAGCCGATACATTTTCACGTCTGCATTGAATAATTTATAAAAGTAGCTTATGAAATTGGAACAAATATGGCAAAATATAAACTTATTTTGACTGTTATCTGAACCCTCCACTTGCTATAACTCCACATATAATAAGTGGATGGTCATAATGTCACTCATTTTATTTTCGCGGGTAAATATGGATTAGATTATGAAAATGCTGCAATATATTGGTTTATAAATAAGGCCATATGATCAGTATAATTATAAGCATTCATGATCGCGACATATGTTCAAAACTTTACACTGCAAAAATACGGGATAATTATACAAAATCGGTTTAGAGAAATGTGTTGTATTTTGAAACTTAAATAAGATTGAATATCCTGTATCTCAACGTTGATTTATTTCTTCAAGTATTAAATTATCCTTTTGTTGAAAAACATTTAATAAATTACTTAAAATTCATATTTGGAAAACGCTCAAGTAAGTTAAAGTAAGAAATTTATTTCTTTCACAAATCTGTATGACATTTTATGCTTCTAAAATGTAAAGTATATAGTCGGCGCAATGTTAGTCAACTATGAATATTAATATCAAATTTAAACTTAACACTGTTATAAAGACTAAAGAGAGAATTGCTTATGACTATTAATTATGCTTGAAAGTGTTTCATATGTATTGTCCGGAATATCCCTTCTAAATTATCAATAAATTGTCATTGCAACTTTACTTAGGTATATTGAATAGTGGGAGAAAGTGCAGTATCAATGAATTTGATCTCTACAATACTTTCTTTAATAAAATTTGAAGTAGCCGTTTTTAGTAGCACTTCAAATGCTTGTCCAAAGCTTAAAAGGTATAAATGAAATTTCATTAATAAAAGCTTTTTACAGTGATACAGACCAGTGTGCGAAAAAAACAGTATAAAACAGAATTTATTATTGTCAAACTTCACTTTAAAATAAGCTTAAAGAATGAAAAACTGTCAGGTTTGTCCGGGTTATCACTTCTTAGTTGCTGATTCTATCTAATTATACTTTATACAGATAAAGAGACATTTAAGAGAAAATGCAGTTTCAAGGAATAATAATCCGACATCTTTTTAGTTTTTTCATTAAAATAATTGTTTTCACTTTCCTCACTCAGCCTGAGTATTAACTGTTGTCTTTTGTCTTTGGTTTGGTAGTCTTTAACTTATGATGGAGTTTGGTGTGGTCACTGATGTAAAAATAGATTGTTACACTATTGCTTAACAGCCTTTTTTCATTGAAATGAGGTTGGTTATCACTTTGTTTGGTCCTATCATTTTGGGTCGAAGGCGGTTCAACGTCAAGTTTACCAGACTAATACAAGAAATCTGTAAACTTTTGCTTAGGATTACATTATTGACTGGTGTCCTTAATATTTCAATTTTAATGTAAACATATTTATTTCCTGATAATATACATAAACAATAAAAAATCACTTTTATATATTCAAGATAGGGATAAGAAAAAAGAATAAATCTTATAAAATTCTTCTCCTTTTTGGTGTATTTTATAATGTGTCGAGTTTTGCACTGTTTCAAAATGTTTGACAAATCGGGAATATAATATTTTGGGGAAAAAAGAAAACGTGTTAGTAAGAAGTAAGAAACCATATAGAAATAAAAACATGACTGAATGTACTGATAAACCATTATATTGTAGCTTAGAGAAACATAATAAAATAGCATTATTGGTCTAGTTAAGAGGAGAGGTGTGTCTTGCAGTATGAACAGATAAATCGTTTTGTTGCAGAAATGTTAACGTGAACATGCTTAAAAATAGTGGCATTGTCTGTATCAAGGATATCTGGGTTGACGAAGATAAGAGTAACAAGAGTAATGTTGAAATTTTTAATGTATGAAATTGCTTTTGTCTTTATGTGTTTTAATTTGGGCATTCAAGAAAAAAAAGCAAAAATAAGTTTACAATTGTCCTCTCTCAAATGACTATGCACTTCAAACCACTTGCCCCTCACCGCGGTTGGTTCGAATTCCGACAGGGACTTTGAATTCTATCATGTGAGGAAGCTATCCAGCTAGCTTACGGAACGTCGGTGGTTCTACTCAGGTGCCCGTTCGTGCCTGAAATAATGCACGGAAGGGCACCGGTGGTCTTCCTCCACCAGTAAAGGTCGCGATATGACCTATACTGTGTCGGTGTGACATAAAACCAAAAACAAACAAATGACTGTGCTGAAGATATTTTTTAAAGGTGTTGTATTTTGTGCGGTAATATTTGATATTTAATATCGCTATAATATATTTACTTTGGGGGTAGATTGCATGCTATATTGACACCAACTTTTGAACATTGAAAGTGTTGGCAAATTTAGTATATTGAAGGGTAGGTTGCTCCATATACGTATGGCAGTTGGGAAAAATAATTGAAATATTATCAAGTTCTTGCTGATATAGCGCTTATAACATTTTAGTTCCTTTGTTTGTAGTGTCTGATTAGATGGTTATAACAAATATTACAATTTTGATAGATAGATACCATTGGTGTCCCCCTAAGGCAGGTTAAAGTTAGTTTTTGAAATACAAGCTATGCATGCTTCCTGTTACTGTATAAAACTACTGACTGGTGTGCAATAAAATGCATTGCCAAATTTGCAGATTTGAAGAGATTCATCGAACATTGCATTATTCAATGTTGATATTTCTTCATTTGAAGAATCTATGGATCCTGTATCACTTTGTAGGAAGAACAAATTAACAGAAACAGATAAACCTAACAACATACCAATTAAACAAACCAACAATGAAATGTAAAACTATGAACTGGCATGATTCAGATATCACATTTCATCTTATCCATATTTTGAACATAAACATTTTGATTAAAGTATTTTATTCTATTTACTGGACAGAGTGATTACTCTACAGCTAAAGAAGTTAATGTAGAGAAATATTACACGAATGGAACGTCCAACAACAGTAGTCCTGATCAGATTATAGAGCGAAAACAAAGACACAGTACAGGTAATATCATTTCAAATTCAATATTTACACTACTACTTTCAATACGTTATTTGACTTTATCTTTTATAATTTACATGCATATTGATATTATAATTATATGAGCGATTAAAATGAATTTTGCAAACATCACCGTTCAACAATGATTCGATTGTCTGAATTTCTAAATATAACACGACTACAGATAAATACAGTCTGTGAGTTTTAAAAACAGAGCAAAATAAATGGACAAGATAAACTTATTTAAACAAAAATATATATTATTTCAATTTTAATATTCTGAATTAATGTAGATTTCATCTCATTAACTAATCACGCGTGTACTTCAGAAAATGACGTGTGTACATTTGCAATTTAAATACAGCAATTAAATTTAACGACATTAGATAGCTTTAAAGGAACCACTATATGTATAATTCAGACGTTTGGCATTATTCATAAATAATCTATCACATTTTTTCTTTCTTAATATGTTCATTACGCAAAAACATTTGATATAAATGCAAACATATAATACTTCAGAGTTCAAAAATTGTGTAATATACTAACGCAATATAATCATGCAGCCATATGATATAAATAGTATCATACAATGTCGATAAATGTTAATTGATATAATTTGTAATTATAATTACAATTTCATATACAGTGGAGAAAAGAAGACGGCTAGTGATAGCCAACAGGATTAAAGAGCTGAGAAACCTACTTTCAGATCATATCCGAAAGTAATTAAATGTTAAACCATTATAAAATATTGTGACAATGTAGTGAATTCATGAAAATTCATTGTTTTTACTTATCAACACAGTAAGTATCATAGGTGGACTCTCCAGCTTGACAGGTGTAGGAAGAAGAACCCCCACAGTGCTTAATTTCAGGCACCTTGGTATAACCACGGACTTTCCGTAAGGTAGTTAGATAGCTTCATTACATGAAAGAATCCAAAATCACTGGTGGGATTCAAACCCGTAACATTGAGGGGCAGGTCGTGTGTTGCAGTTCATTCTTTATGTACATCATGCTACGTTACAGACACATGTGGTTCATTAATAAAAATTAATAAGAATATTCCGTTTACATTTTTGTAAAATAAAACAAAAACAAAATGTCTTGATGGTTTATCTGCTTCATGAATATGTCGTCTACCAACTGTCTTGTATATATTTTATTTAGTTCTAGCTATCTCATTGTATTGTTAAGTAGACAGTTCACCAGTTTCCTTTAAAATCAGCGACCATTATTGCAAGAACACATATTTTTTGCTTCTATATTTAAAAGTTTAAAGATGAGTTCTGCCTAAGCTACTGCCTATTAAGTTTAACGGTATCATGCACTATTAAAAGGCTAACCAAAACAAATTTGTATAACATCATTTTGTGTAGAGATAAACATAAACCACTAAGTCGGTCACGTAATTTTTTGTTATATGTTGCCTGTATATGAAACTGTGCTGGCTTAGGAATTGCTACAAAATTTATTTTATTTTTTTTGTTTATTTTTTGTTTGTTTGTTTCTCAATAGAAAATCTATGAGCAAGATTGAAATTTTAAAAGAATCGATAAACTTCATTGTAATGTTGGAACAAGCACAAAAAAGCCTTCCCTATCTAGAGAAAAAACTCGGTGAGGTAAACATTAAGATGCGGAAAATGAAGTCGCAGTTACAGGTAAATGAAACTTTGTAACTATTTGAAACAGGCGATAGGTGTGTTAACTCATTACTGCATGACGTTTTTTTCATTTAATTGCCTCCTGTTACAAGTTCCAATTGCTATGAAATTAAAAGGTGCTTAGATATCCATCAAACTTATCACAAATGTTAATTACTATGGAACATAGTTTTTGTAACAGCATGCCCAATCTTAAATATTCGGTAATCATTGCATCGAGGGGACATCTCAAAATAACCCAAAAGACTATTTTGCGTTGATTTTATTTTCTTTCAAAACTTATTTCAAAGTGCTGCATCTTCTCAATTAATTGAGATAGAGTAAAGGCTTTTCAGCATTGGTTACACGTTACCTTATGATCGACCTGAGGCCAACTTTAGCCTCTCAAAAGTCCAAAATATTCTTTGCGATGAGTGGGGGGAGGGAAAAGCTGCCCCCTTCAAACCTCCTTAGCAGAAGAGGGAACAACATTTATAAGTGCTACATCTAAGGGCATTGTTTCACCATTTGAGGGGTCAAAAAGGGGGACGAAAAGGCATGAAAAGACGTAATTGGTAATGGATATGTTGCATGCTTTTTTATTTGTCTTTTGACGTCTTATCTGTGATATGCAGGCTTCATAACATCTGATCCCCTTACCAAAATTCTATTTTGTTAAGTTCCGCCCATTGTTTTCTCGTTTAGGGCACATGCATTTTATTACTTTTGGACCTTATGCCGCTTTTTATGTAATAGCGCGGGAGTGTCACATTGAATGTTCAATAATGACCGTCGTATGAACACATCTGCGGATGTTCTAAGTTCAAATTTTCATAATTTTTGTGTTTAAATGTATGATTATGCTTTGGCTGGACCTAGGGGGCGTGGGCGGTAGTTTGCACTTGACAGAACCGTTCAGAAACAGATTTAATCAAACCGACCCTGCAACATTTTCAATTTTGTTGTTTTGGACATTCTTTAGGGATTCTGTTTTTTTTTTTCCTATTTTGAAATAAAAAAAGTTTTTTCTTGTGTTATATTATGACAAATAGAAAATATTACAGGAAAAACAGATTATTTAATATGTCGTGGATTTTAGCTCACCTTTCATAACAAAACAGGCATGCAATAGGTGTATTAAAATTTAAACAATTATGCCGCGTGATAGACTGTGTTACCTTGCAAGTACGACAGGTCAAGCTTGATTATTTCTAAGAAAATGTTTTAACCAAAACTGAGTTTCGACTGATTAGGGAAGTTTCGACTGTTAAGTGTAACACGTACATGTACAGTACAAAAACGGCGAAAAATAGTTCAATGGTTTGTTAAGCAAAGTTTTATCAAGAAATAATTGACCTTGCATCATTTTGATTATTTTCAGACATTAGAGGCATTCTGAGAAGGAACATCTAACAAAGGCTTCCAATCGTCTACGATAAGAATTAGCTTTGAAATATTATTATGGTACTTTATAAATATTCGCTGGTCTGTGTATATCTCATGTTCATAACTCTACAGCCACTCAACTTGACAGAGAAATGTATAATTGTTACTGTGCAAAAAAACATCATGTTTCTTATATGTTCATTTGATATTTATAATCAAAAGTACCATGGCGTCACATTTTCAGAATAGATAATTATAGACTTAATAGTTTTATAAATATACGGTCTCACGTATTATAAATTGAATATCAAGGCTTAACAAAAGGCTTAGAAACATGAAAAAGAATTTCACGAGACACAAACATAGTTACACCAGACGTCAATACATTGTTTTGGAGTAAATGGGCTTTCTTTCATATGGTAAAGACAAGATCAACCAGGACAAATGACTGGATACCCAACACAAGCCAGCAACAAGAACCACCGACAAGGAAGCCAGTAGGACATCAAACAGGATATGGCACACGGGCAGATCACTGACGGCAAATTAAAAACCCGTTTTTGTGTATTTGGTTTGCAAATCTTCTCGGTTTTTTTAGACTTATTACGCCTTTCCAATATTTCACACAATTAATCCTAGTACTATTAAGCTTTTGAACATCAGTAACTATTTCTATATCTTTATATAAACAGTGTTGATTTCATGTTCCATCAAATTAATTTTTTCATGTCTCATTTTTTTTATTTTTTATTTTTTGGCATTTTTAAAGCAAACATTTTCGAATGAAGTAAATAAATGAAGAACGAGCGTTATCTTTAAAGCATTCATATAGGTATAAGAATCTATTGCATTTAAACAGGTATGTGTTTATTTCTTGAATACTTTGTCATTGTTCTTATGAGTATAAATGATGCCAGGTGCACAAAATGAGTGATTGAACCTAGTTTTAGACATTTTCTGTCCACAAAAAAATGCATATAACATCTCAACTATGCGGGAAATATTCTTATTTCGTTGGTTAAACCATAAAACAGCATGACGCAGAAGATAAAAGAAAATTTCCCGTTGTACCAATACTTCAAATACATGAAATATTTTTACAAACAAAACATAACTTTAAAAATTAGTTTTTTGTCGAGCACTGAATGCCCGCTTTTCCGCCACCGGGATATACCATCTTTTATTATGCATGTACTACCATAATTATTCGTCCGGCTTAAAACGAGTTCATCGTGTCGCGCATACGTGTGTGTGTGTGTGTGTGCCATAAAACAATTTTGAAACAATGGTGTCTTATTTGCGTCGTCGCGTTGTAGCAGGCGACAACACGACACAGCGCGGAAAAGCGCGTTTTCGCCTTGTCATCTTGTCTCGCAGCGTTTGGCACGATCATTTTAAAATATTTCAAAGAAGAAATAATTAGGAGTCTGTATTGACGATGCATATTTAAATTGGCTCTCAGACTGATTCTATACGCACAAGATTAAACCTGAAATTTCTCTTTTAAAACGAATTAAATAAATTCAATTTGATTATATAGAATTTCTTTTGCATAACGCGTACATCTTGCCAATATATGAATTTGATAATTGTTGCACACTTTGGGGTTACAAAAAAGGAAACCTACATTCAAAATATTAAAAATTGTTACAAAATCGAATTGCAAAACTAATATTTAAAACAAAAACACAAAAAGTTCACCAATAGAGCACACATATTTTTCATTTAAAGACCATACGCCGCTTTACATACAATGGCACTAAGTAAACGTGTAGTGAAAGATCCGTGATAATCACGTTAAGGTTCACCGTCCGTCTGTCTGTGCGTCAGTCAGTCCATCCGTTCGCAAAATTCGATCCTGCTATAACGCAAAAGTACTTAAATATTTTTATCAAACTTGATATATGGATAGATATGGAGATAATGCCTTTTTCTTTTTTTCCAATGTTGAAAACCTTGGTTGCTATAGCATCAAACAGACTGAAAATATGGCTTATTTAACACATAACCTGACAGAGTATTTTTCAACTCAATTCATTTTAATCCCATCAGAACCAAATATTTACGGTGAAAGAGGTTTAGTCGACATTTTAAGTTTTGAGTCAACGATGTTCTTTTCCAAAATAAATAGCTATAACTAATTCATTTGGATTTTAGCATTATTGTGACAGTCTTACTAAAAAATTACCCTTTTGGCTCCTTTACCCCAGGGGATCAGAAAAAAAAAAAACCCTTTGGTAGGGCAAAGAAATTGGGGCTAAAAAGGGAATTTTAAAACATCAAAAGAAATAAAATGAATTTTTGAGGGGGGAAAACACATTTTTAAAATCTCATACACCTGCCAAAAGAAAAATTTTAAAACCCAGATAACAATCTTTATCAATAAAAAGAAATCCCTGGAACCACCTATAAAGGAACGGGAAAAAATAAAAAGAAATAGAAAAACCAAAAACAAAAAATAAAATATGTGTTTAAAAAAATTCTTCATCGATTTAAATTATAACATCTCTGAAGTTTATGCTTTTTGTCTTCGAAGGACTAGGCAGAAAAAATGTAATATGAACTGTTTACGTGCGATATGATATTTATTTTCTTTGTGAGTATTTTTATATATAATTGTTCTAAGTTTACATTTGAACGAAGGAATTAATTATGTTAGAAGCACATATTACGTCATAAAAACGGAATTCGGTCATATCTTTCTATGTCATTATTTTTGTAACATTACATTAAATAGTTTGTCAGAAAAAGAAAGCTAATAATGTAATAGGTAATAAGGTGTCAACCTTGTTTATTTCATTACATTTTCCGATCAATCTTTTCATTACCCGGTTGTATGTTTATTGATGCCTATCCTATAATGTCAGTTATTTTAACTTTAAATACAATTTAAATATTAAATCAAATCATAAATTTAAATTGAGGTTGAATTATCGTTATGTTTACTACTGTATTTGTCCCTAAAGAACAGAATACAAGTGATTTTAACCTATTTTAAACGGTGTTTTGTTCATTGCTTTTAAAATTTAGTTTTTATCATTCATTCATTACTTTTTGTTTTATTTGTCCTTAATTACCATTTTATACTGGACCAAAAGAGAGTATCCGTAGAAACTGAATTTCTTTTATTGATTTACTGGTCAGATTTTTTATTTGCAACAATATTTTTATGTGTAAAAAGTGTAAAATTTAATGCATTTGAATCGGTCTTTGAAAAGGTTTAATCAATGCATGAGCTAAAAACAACAAAGTTGTGTCCTTAATTTCAAAAATAATTTCAGAATGTTTTGATTTTGGAGTCGAAATGTAGTTTTTATCCTTAAATGATTACAAACTTTTTCTATTTAAAAAGGATGTTAATTTTCAATATTGATTATGAGGACGACTGTTGTTGTTGTTGATGATGATGATAGCTGTTTTTGTTGGTTGTCGTGTAATTTAAATATTGAACTGCATATTCTATGTTATTGACTTTTGTAAGTTTAGCAAGAAAAACTAGAAATGATATAAATAGGAGAGTCAAGATTTTGAGTTAATGTATGTGTTCATTGGCATTTTAAAGGGAGACACAAGCAAAATTTTCATTTCTTATTCTTGAATTTTTCATTCATTATTCTGTAAATGCTCTCAAAATGAATATATTAGACAGTCAAAGGAACAAAACTTTTCTCCATATAAAGAATAAAATGGTGGTTTCCTAACATGACCGAAGTGGGTCAGGTTAGAGCGCTATCATTTCACAATAGTAGTCAAAGTGAACGTTAAAGAACATGTTATATGAATGACTTTGGCTTGTTTCAATCATACAATATCCACAATATCTGTTATTGTAACTTCAAGGGTTTGTTCAAGTCACATGACTTGTTTAAAAACTAGTTGGTGATTCCATTGGCATCTTAAGTTTGTACAACATATATAGACATATTGATGCTTCAAACCCAAAATATATAGATTTTAAACAGAAATTCATGCTGAAACTTCAAGAAAAGTCATTTAGCGTGATTTGAGTACATTAGATCATTTTAATATTTTGTCATTATTTTGCCTGAATATCCCTTTAAGAGAAGTTAAAACCGAGTTGAGTTGGGTATAATATGAATTAAAAGTATCAGAAGGATGGGACCCAGCAAATATTAAAGAAGAAATAACAATGTGGTCGAAAAAGGTGCAAAAATAACTTCAAAATTGGTAGGGACAAAGGAGATAACTCAAGAATTATAAGAGGTATGTCTTACAAGCAGAGTAAGAGGCCATAGAAAAATAAACCATGTATGATTTACATAATAATCATGAAAACTAAACGCTTGATAATTAGATCCATGCAACAATTGTAAGTTTCCATTGTAAGTATCCATGATCATTTAGAAATATATCAAGGCAGACATAATTAGGAGTCTGTATTGACAATGCATATTTAAAGCGACTCTCAGACTGATTCTATACGATGAAGATTAAACCTGTTATTGCTCTTTCAAAACAGATTAAATAATCTCAAATTGATTATAAAGAATTTCCTTTGCATAATGCGTACATCTTGCCAGTATATGACAAGGACTAATGTTGCACTCTCTGGGGAAACAAAAATAAAAACATGTCACGAAATCGAATTGCAAAAGTAATGTTAAAAACAAAAATCACACAAAGGTCACCAACTGTTGGCGTAATTTAGTTTCATCCATTAATTCACATTATTTCACTCGAAGACCATACGCCGCTTTTCATACAATGGCACTAACATGTAATAAAAGATCTATGATTATCACCGTATGTAGACATCTGTAAAGGTTTTTATTTAAACTTTTTTTATTTAATTTTAAAAGATGAAAACTTGTGTTTTTAATTGAGGACTGAACACTAGCATGCCTTTTCCAAAAAAATGCCCCAAATAAAACAGAAACCCGGGAAAAAGTTTTTAAAGTTGCCCCTTTTTTTGGGGTTTTTTAAAAGGATTTTCATTTATATGTTTGTTTGTTTTTTTGTTGTTTTTTTTTGGGGGGGGGGTTACGTTATATCGACACAGTAAAGGTCATATCGCGACGTTCCAGCTTTACTGGTGGAGGAAGACCTCAGGTGCCCTTCCGTGCATTATTTCAGGCACGAACGGGTACCTGAGTAGAACCACCGACGTTTCGTAAGCTAGCTGGAACATTTATATGTATTTGTTCAAACAAGTCAACTGCCTGACTATTATAGACAGGTAATAATATCATATACAAGACATGAACCATGCAGCTGAGATTAATTTCATCTCCGTTCATCTTTACATTACGATTTCGAGTTATAAAACAAACGTGAACCAACTATCTTAAAGACATAATTATACTTCTTATATTCGATATGACGATATTGAATAATAATCTAAATAGAAAAAAATCAAACACCTTACTACAAATACATGTATATGTATTGAACGCCATAGCTGCCTCATGCTATTACATTTCTTTTTATCTCGCACAGAAAGCGTCTTATTATGTCAAATATAAGCGTTGTAATGCAATTGTAATTTGTCGATTTGTCTAAACGTTGCCTTTATATACCC